TTACGCCAACTGCTGGTCCTAGTACTGACTTTCAAAGTAAAATAACCCCAGATCCTGTGACGTGCCCCGAGACTGGTCTTAATGCTGTCTCCCCACCCAGCCCACTGAGCTGCTGCTGCCCCAGACACCCACTGCCTTCCTCTCTCCGTGTCAACAGACATCTTTGTCACACTTGGTGTGTGTGAGGGCATTCCACAGACGTGACCCCTGTGCGTGATGAGGTTGAAGGTCGGTGTACCCGCCACGGTCAGTGTTCTACCTGGCGAAGACAGAAACCACTGTGTGGCGAGACTTTAAGATGAGACCTTTAGGCCCATGCTGATGTGGGCCGTGTCCAGAGCAGTCACCCACTGAGAGCGAGGCCAGGCGACAGGTGCACTCGAGCCTCCAGTGGTCCCTGCCAGTCCTGGAGTCAAGGCAGAAGTGACCTTGAGCTGCGTCCTGCTTACAGAGCTTTGCTGAGTGGGAAGAGTAAACTGCCTCCTCAGAAACCGGCCAGGCGTGCCATCTGACCTTCTGAGCACCTGTGTAGGGCACGCTGAGCTCGAGCTGGGGGGGACTCTCAGCTGTGGGGGACTCTCAGCCACGGGGGATGGAAGACTCTCAGCTATGGAGGGACTCTCAGCTGTGGAGGGACTCTAAGCCGCGGGGGACGGAGGACTCTCAGCGATGGGAGGACTCTTAGCCGTGGGAGGACTCTCAGCTGTGGCCTCTCCGGGCACAGCTTGCCATGCAGGATGTCACGGCCGCACGTGCTCAGTCTAACACCAGCCCTGGGGGCTGATGTACCCTCTTTTTAAAAGCCACATTTTCTGCCACGATTAGGAGGAACATTAGTGGGCCCATGAATTCCACACCCGTGAGCACTGGTGCCTTTCGAATGCTTCCGGCCAGCTTGAGCTCCGTTGGAGACTGCGTCCCTGTTCCTGGTCTTTGTTCTGCCCCATCGCAGTGACCTGGTGATCACCTGTGTACCATACGTTGTCCAAACGACAGGGGAGGGCCTCTGGCCCGAGTGCACTGGCTCGGACGCCGAGGTCCGCCAGCGCTCCTACGTCCGCCGCCCGTGCCTAGGCCCGAGGGACGGTCCAGACACGGGTGCTCGCTGCTCTGACCCAGCTGGCGGGCGGGGGCTTTATGAAAGCCTGGGAAGTGAGGTCAAGGAAATGCGTCCGCTCCGGCCCGTGGGCTTGCAGGCTTACGAGTGGTGATGCTGTCTTCTGGCCTCAGCTCTCCAAATGTGCGGGGACCATTTTAAGCCTGTCTCTCTCCTGGCCGGCTGGGAGCCTGGGGACCCTCTGGGACGGCGTCTCCCCCGAGCACCTTGTCTTTCCGCTGTGCGGAACCTGCTTTGAATCACCTCCAGGTCTGAAGGTGTCAGCTTGGCCAGCTTTGCCGAGGGGCTTTAACGGATCGGGCACAGAGGACGACAGGTGGGACTACACGTGGCCTGCCCAGCTGGCTGTGCACATGCCCAGGCTGCATGGGGAGCGTCTTCTGTGTGCATTGCCGCTTTGGCTGCTCTGCGTCTGGCTGGATTCTTGGTGGGAGGCAGAGGTTAAAGCGAATGGTCTGGGAAGTGCTGCCGCCCGCATCTCCTTCAGGTCCCTGGCCAGTTGTGCACGATCCCCTTCAGGGGGTCATGGGCAGTTCTCAGTCAG